ATTCATCCATACATCATCAATTCATCATAGATAGATGTAGAAAATCATAAGAGTCACTAATACAATCCAAACACAATATTCATAAACTTTGAATCATAAGCAAAAGACCCACTTCATAAGCAAATTTAGGAATTTAGGGAAAAACATGGGTTCTTCAAGGAATTCCATACGAAAACATCTTAAAAACAATAATCAAACATTAAATCATCAATATAATGGCTTAGGAAACGTTTTGCCAATGAACCCATGCTTAGATTAGAATTTGAGATTTTTGTTCTTTGAAACACTTTTGATTGGACTCCTTGAAAGAAAGATTGATCAAGGATCAAGGGTCACCATACCTTTGTTAAGATTCCCCAAGAAAATTGATGAAGAAACCACCTTCAATCCAAGCCCTAGCTCCAAGTTCTTGACCTTCTTAAAATGGAGGATTGTAGAGAGAAAAGTATTTGAGAGGAGGTGAGTTCTTTTTAATTCTAATTAGAGTGACTTAAAATGGAAGAATTTGGTCTAGAAGGGTTTTATAATTGCTAGGAAAGGTAAATAATAATAGGGACTCAACTTAGGAAAAGAATTAAGGACCCACAAAGTTAAACTTAAAAGTTTTCACTAAACCCGTTTAAGCTCGTCCTTTTTGGAAGTGTTTCATTATTTTGGGTATAACTTTTTACTCCGAGATCGGAAAAGGGAAAACTCGGTGGCGTTGGAAAGAGGACTCAGATACCTTTAATTGGATAGGTAATGGTCCACCTAATTCGTTTTGAGCTAAAAGATATCATCATTTGAAGTTGACCCTAAAAGTCGTAACTTTAAAAATCTGCCCCTTGCTCGTCTGTTCCAGTGGGATTACTCAAAGGCTGGTCAACTGGGCAATCCACTAGGCTAACTCGCTAGCTTATTCCCTTGCTTGCACCCTAGGATGCTACCTAGCTCCATTTAAGTTCTAAAACAGCATAAACATCAACCTAAGCTCCCACTAACCCAAACGTCAAGGCTCAAGTTCATTCTCTCATTTTCCGAGTCGTTACAGTTTTTTCTTTTGTTCAAAAATTCCTTCTTCTCTTTTACAGCCCTTTCCTTTTTCAGTTCTACTTTCCAAATAGGACAATCCTTAATTTGATGATCAGTTTTTCCACACTTGAAGCATCCTCCGTTTTGGGGTTTCTATGTACTCTTTTCTTTTATGGCTGGTGCCTTTTTTTCCAGAATTTATGCCCCTTTTGAAGAATTTTTTGAAGTTTCTGCTGATTAGTGCCAAGTCTTCATCATCTATATCGAATTCATCACTTTCAGTTGCTTTGAGTCCAAGATTTTTTTCTTTGCTTCCCTCACTTCTTTTATCAACATTCATCTCATATGTTTTGAGATTACCTACTAGTTCATCCAAAGTCATGTTGGTTAAATCCTTGGCTTCTCTGATTGCAGTGGCTTTTATTTCCCATAATCTAAACAAGGTCCTAAGCACTTTGTCTACCTGTTACTCAGTGGTGTATACTTTTCCCAAGGAGATTAACTCGTTTACTACAGTAGTAAATTTGGTGATCATGTCTTGAAGCGATTCTCCGAATTTCATCTTGAAGGTTTCGTATTCAGAGCATAGCCTAGCAATTTTGAATTTTCGAACTTGAGTTGTACCTTCATAAGCATTCTGTAGAGTATCCCATATTTGTTTAGCGGAGGTGCAGCTTGAGATGCGATTAAACTCATCAGGTCCTAGTCCACATACAAGAATGCATTTAGCTTTTGCATTTTTTTCCCAGGATCTTGTAGTCAGCTTCTCCATATTTTTCTTTAGGTTTTGGAACATCTTTTCCTTCACTATCCTTAACAGTAGGGATTAAAGGCCCATCAGTGATTCTAACCCATAGTTCATAGTCTTCAGCAAGGATAAAGTCCTACATCCTTGTCTTCCACCATGAGTAGTATTGACCATTGAATAGTGGTGGTCTGTTGATGTGTTGCCCTTGATCATGTCCGAGAGGAGGTGCATAACTCATAATGATCTTTATCTTGAGTTATTAGACTCTTGATTAAGATAACCCGCTCTAATACCACTTGTTGGAATTCTTACCTCCTTAATTCTATAAAGGAACACATATTTACAACTTGTTCCTCACTATTTGAAGTTAACAGTAAAAAGAATAACTCGTTCAAAACTTTATACTATCTCCGTCCCATTTTATGTGGCAACATTTGACCGGGCACGAAGTTTAAGAAATAAATGAAGACTTTGAAATGTTTACCAAATTGCCCTTTAAAAAGTAAACTCACTTTTCTCTCTCCTCATAAATGTATTGAACTATTATTTTAAGATTAAGTGGGACCAACAAGAATAAAAGAGGAATTGTATCTTTAAATACTTACCATATAAGGAAATGTGACATTCTTTTTGGGACCACAAAGGAAATTGTGTCACATAAAATGGGACGGAGGGAGTATTATTTATAGCACCTTCAAATAACACAATGATTACACAACTAAGTAACCTAAGGAATTATAAACTCTAATCCCTAGCTACCCAAGACAAAAAACCCAAGTTTAAGTCTTCTATCGTTCTTCAAACTTGTTAAACGAAACCTACTCTCAACACTTGATTGTATTCAAAAACTCTTGACTACAATTGTACAACTTTTCTCTCAACTCGCAGCACTCCCCAAGTAAATATCAAAACTCTCACAAAACTCTTGATCGTGTTTTGATTTTCTCTCAATGTAAATGCACAACTTTCTCTAAGAAACCATGCCCTATTTATAGATCACGCTTCCTCAAAGTCTTGTTCAACTCGAACTTGTCTTCACCGCCTTAAAGCCTTGTTCAACTCGAACTCGACTTGGACTCCTATTTGTACTCGGCTTCTTTCACAGAAAAACTTACGCGTAGTTTTCCTTAATCGTGAACTCCTTCTACTCGTTTTCGATAAGACACTTTGTATCACGTTGGCACGACCTGTTCTATGCACTTTGACATTCTTCAAAACTCAGAAGCTCCTAACAATTATGACATTAGTAGCACTGTTGTTTCGGTTGTCACAATTGATCATTTGAAATCACAAACAATGTCCAAGTTGTCTTATATTAATGATTTTCAATGATAAAGTCATAAAATAACGAATAATAGATATGGGATACATGCCCAAAGACTAGTGTGGATATGGACAGGAACCTCCCTATAATGTCCCAGCATAGTCAGGTTTCGGCATCAATTTAAGGGAAGCAAAAGCAGCACAATTTGAGTGTTTTTCCTCCTTTTTTAACCTGCAATTGTATGTTCACAGTTGAAAGTATACAATCATGGAGGTGTTTCTTATAAATATCAATTGATCTTCTAAATCTGTTATCTTATGTTCTGCCATTGCAATCATCCTGTTTTAATTGTTGTCTAGTAATTGAGTAAGGGCTATTGCGTGTTTGCAGCATATGAGCACCTATAATGAAACAAGAAATAAATGCAGTAACTTCACAAATGCAAACAAGACGAGGTTGCTTTTGGAGGAATCAAACAAGAATCCAGGATGCATTTGGTACGAAAGAAAATGTTTTATATGAATATATGGAAATGATTCATTTCCAGGTTTCATTCATTTCTTAATAACTATGGAGAACCATATGTTATTTGTTACACTGCAAAGGAAAACCTCCATGAATGTTACCACTATAACATTTTTCTATGATGTCACTCAAGGGAAGTTCTTTTTTCTAGATCACATTGGTATATGAGCCGGTTTACATGCACAGCGGCCATTTACAATACAAAGTGTTGTTATGCAAACACTTTGAAGACACACCTTGCACATAAGTTTCTGTGCATTCCTTAGTATAGTGGATATGTATCACTATCCAGCTTGCATGCACTAATTACACGAAGAACCTACTATCTCCCACCAGCATAGGTACGAGGTAACTCTGCTCACCAAGGCTTGGACATGAAAAAGGAAACTATCTATCAGATCTAGAACCTCATGATTCTCAGTTCACTTCATTGACCACTAGGCCACCTCTTTGGGTGCAAAAGTGAGCTGTAATAAACGACAGAGTTGGGACATGGTACATCATACAATGAAATGTCTTGCTCTTCCAATTTCGGTGATCGTTTGACGACTTTGTTTCTTATGTGAAGGTATTGCTAATATTGGTTTTAGCCTCTGTTTGGGACCAGATAAATCTTTTAACATTAATTGAAAAAGGCGGAGATAAGATCAGAATTCTGGGGACTGAAAACAGATAATTGAGAAAAGTGCATGAGAAGGAACAACTATTCAATATTTCAAAGGAATCCTGAAAAGAGCATCTTCCATTCTCCTTGGAATCATGAAAACTCCAGGCAATAATATGAAGAAAAGCACATGACTGACAGTCTCACCAGAGTATTTGAAGATCTTTTATCTTCAAATCCATGGTTGTAGCATTTTATAATCACGAGAAAATACTCAACCGGGTTCATTATGTGTCTGTTGTCAAACTTCTAGTTATTCCAGAACCAGGGCATGACTCTTAAGAGTAAACTAAAAATCCCTAGGTAACAATGAAGTCAACTGAAAAATAAAAGAAGAAGAAAAGGATAAGCCCTGCTACTATCCCACAACAAACATCATAAAACCTTTATCCTTATTGTAGTGTTAAGCAGTTCAAATTCTCCTAAAAAGTAATACCTACATTTATCTAAGCAATTTCATTTTGAACCTGCAAACAAGCTTCACAATGGCTGTCCTCTAGTTGATCTGACATACCTTATGCATTCATGCATTGTCAATTTCAACAAGTTCTGTTGAACCTACCCGTCCTGCAAAGGTAACTCCAGAACAACCAAATCCTTGCATAGAAATATCACAAGCTGAACTAAGTTCAACAAAACCTTAACAATCTCGGACAGAGCAATTTGAGATGCAATGCCAACAAAGCCAATCCATTACAGAAAAATCACCAAATGTCTGTATGCGTACTTCCGAAAGAAAAGTGTTGTAAAATATTCCTTGTTATAGCACAGAAAGAAGGCCAAGAAAATGCAAATGAATATCACTGAAACAATCAAAATTACATAAGCTTGCTTTTGTTGTTAGTTGTTTTTGCTACCAATCAAGTGATGAAGAAGCACACCTGCTGCAACACTTACATTCAAGCTTTCCACAGCCATAAAGGACCTAAAGTTCTGACCTAAAATACTATCATCACTCTCAGCATCCTCATCTTCTGCAGCGATTATATCCAAAGGGATATTTCCCTGAATTCTAACTAATTCAGTACATGACCTCTCCACCAATGGTCTCAGACCAGTCCCTTCACTTCCCAAAACAAGTATTGTAGGAGCACCAGGCACAATCTCATGCAACGGAACAGCTCTTGAAGAAACAGAACCACCTAGGACCCGCCATCCATTTTCTGCCGAAGACGTTAGGAATTGCATCATATTCTTGCAAGACCTCAGCTCCATTAATTCAAGTGAGCCGGCACTTGCTTTGCTCACTACCCCACTCAATGGAGCAGAGTTCTTAGCACACAAAACAATCCCAGAAGCTCCGAAAAAGTAAGCAGACCGTATAATTGCACCCAAATTCTGAGGATCAGTAACCTCATCCAAAGCAACCCAAAGAGGAGTGGTATCTTCTTCAATTGAAACAGGTTCCAATTCCTTGATACCAACCATTTCCAATGGAGAAGTATCAAGGACCAGTCCCTGATGAGGCCTGTTATCACTAATCATATTGAGGTCATGTTTAGATACTTCCTTTATACTTAATCCAACTTTCTCCGCTGTCCTCAAAACTCTCTCAAACCCTTTCTTATCCTTCTTCTTCCTGTTATTCCCACTCAGATCCAACCCTTCCTGAATATAGAGACCATAAAATTCTCTTCTTCCAGCTGACAATGCAGCTAAAACAGGGCCAACACCATAAACCCCCTCGCCTATCATTCTCGGTAGGGTTGATTCAGACGCCTCTTTCCATGTCTTTTTACCCCAACTATCTTGATTGTTCCACCTTCTAACCTCTGGCCTATCAGACCCCGGTCTTACCTTAATCCGACTGAACCTGCTCTTAATCTTATCCCATCTCGGATCATCCATTTCTCCTTCATCATCATCTTCTCCACTATTAGTTGTGCTCTTATAATTGTCTCGTCTATCCTCATATCTCTTAAGTTCTACACTTTTCTCTGCACCTTTAAACAACTTGTCAGCCGATTCCCCCCAAGAAGACCTGTTTACAACCACCTTTTCAGGTCTTTTAGTTTGTTTCACTTTATCTTTTCCAAGCCAAGGAAGACTCTTTTCACTACCCTCTGCAATTTTCGTTGAAAAACTTCTAACAGTAATTGAATGTTGGTGAGATTTCGGGAGAAACCCACATGAAAAATTCATAGATATTTCTAAGTTCCAAAGGGGTTTAGTAGTGCAGAAAAGGACTAAAGATCTGGGGGTATGAAACTGTTTTAGCATAATGGAAAATTGTGAAGAAACCTTCAGAGAGAAGATCAATGGCTGCGAGCAGGACTTGAAACTGACGCTGTTCACCTCAAGGATTTTAGGAGGGTTTATCTGCTGCTCTCGAAAAGAGGGGCAGTGAGAGGAGTTGATAGTTTTCGAGCTATGTTATCGCTTACACCCTTGAGGTTCACCAATGTTCAATACTGGTCCCTTCACTTTTAAATTATGGCAGATGTAGCATTTCATTTCCATGCCAAATAGGGGTGGGCATGGATACGGGAAATTAAATGAAAGATTTCAATTAAGTTTGGATTTTGTTTTTGATGACACATTGATCAAGAAATGGTCAAATTCATTTTAAATGTAATTAAGTAAATTTGAGATCAAATTAACATTTTCAAAACTTTCTAATCTTTTATAAAATACAACATAACACTTCATTTTTCAACTTTTATAATTCTATCCAAACTATTTTAAAAAAAGTAAAAGAAAATAGAATTTTCTCTTCTTCTTCTCCCAACGTTCTATCTTCTCTTCTTCTTCTTCCTTAGAAAATTCAAAAATCCGACTATCAAAACAAATATTCTCCCCATTATCTTATCTTCCTCCTCATCTCCAATCGTGTCTCTCTCCTCTTTCTGAACTGAAGATCGTGTTCGACTTAAAATGGATAAGTCTTTTTAATTTTTTTTTTACAATTTTCAAACTAATACTAAATTTTTTTCTTGGGTTAATGAACAATAAATCCTTCTATAGATGTGAGAATTGAATAATGGTGTAATGGTACCTATTATTTATTATTTTTGAAAGAAAAATCAACAAACCCAAAAAAATCCTAATTTTGAGGAAATGTATATGTATTGTTAACATTCAGTGAAAAGTCAATTTTTGTTGTTTTTGTTGTTCTTTTTGTGACCATTTTGTTCATATGAATTTAGAAATATAGTCTTGCTCAGTTGTCCAACATATATTTCATTTGTTGAAAGATGTGTCGTATGTTACAACATTTTAGTGATATGTTGGTACATATTCCAACAGAGTTGTCCTATGTTGGAACATCTCATCTATGAATTAGGGCAACAAATGTCCATCTGTAGTAACAGAAGATTCATCTGTGGCAACAAAAGATATGTGGCAACAAAAGATTCATCTATGGCAACATAAGATTTATCTGTGGCAACATAATGTCCATTTGTGGCAATATAATGTCCAACTGTGTCAACATAAGTATAAATTGCTACCCATTATTATTTTATAATCAATTGTAAACTCTCAACCTTTTTTTATTTACCTTGTAAATCAAATGACACAAGAAGCTTCATTTATGGCAACAACTCAATCTTTTGTTGGTGTTGCTTCCTCTTCTAACATCAAATACTCTTTTTGTCTATGCGAAGAATGTGAGCAACAACATGATTATTTTATTAGTCGTGTTAAAGAACTCACTAATATTTTTAAGAAAATGACTTATAATATTGATGTCCATACATCCAAGAAGATTTCACAGCCTTTGAAGTGTAGGAGGTTGAAAAATCTATTTCCCAATCACTATCTATAATTAGTAAAAGAAAAAAAATCAATGACTACTGCTCCAGTATCACCACACTCAACCCCAAAAGGCAAGGAGAAAGAGAAGGAGAACGAGAACGAGAAGCAGAAAGAGAAAGAGAAAAAGAGAAGAAAATCATCAGTTGTGATGTGAAGCAACAAGTATTTCCATTTGAAGGTTTTAACATTGACAGCGAAGGTCCAACTGAACTAATGTCATCCTTCTCGCAATGGATAAATGAGGGTTTTTACAAGTATCATTTAAAAAAGTAAAGTTGTTAAACTATTATTAGTATTTCTTCTTGTTGTCCACTAAATAATTATTTATAATACTTACACAATTGCATAAGAAACAAGGACAATAACTACTTAGGTAATTGCTCGAATCTTGAGTTCAAACAACTTGATTTTGTAGTTGTATTTCCAAAGAAGAATAACTGGTTCTACGTAATGTCTCAACCCAATAGGTGTTGGACTGATGAGGTAAATTTATTCCCACTTTTATGTTTTGATTAAGCCATGAATACATACAAATAATTGATACAGAAATACACTTGTTGATGCATCTGTGCAGCATGTGGATGTCATTTTATACTATTTGCGGAAGAAGTCAAAGCAACTGATTCATTCTAAATATCGATATACCACTACTATTTGTTTTTTCAAAATGTACATTGACAATGCCAGTGTTGTTCCTGAAAATGAGTATAAAACTGTTGGCACTATCAAAGGGTTTGGTATACCTGTTGGATTGTCTTGGCACCTCACAGATGAGGTTTATGTCCCTGTAAATTGTAATGGGGAATGTCATTGGATCTTGGCAGTCATTGTATTGAAGGAACAATGCATAAAGGTGTATGATTCGATGTCCTCATCTAGGACTAACAGAAAATTGTGCGCCGAGATTCAAAAGTTGTCTACAATGCTGCCAAAGTTCCTTGAATCCAGCAGATTTTTTGAGCAAAAAGACCGAACCAACTGGTCAGTTCTTGAATCATACCAAGGAAAGAACAAATCTCACCCATTTGAAGTCATACATGTTACTGGTAATGCCCAACAAGCAAGCAATAGTCTGTAAGTATCACATTATTTTTTGTCTTACCACTATTGAAATGTGATGTTATTAGGTTTATTATATTTTCTAATTGATGATATACCATGCAAAGATTGTGGACTTTTTGTTGTCGCATACGCTGAGTTTTAGAGTGATGGACTACAAGTACCATCTTATGGAATTATTTCTCAAACCCTTCGCACGAGATATGCTTCACTCCTATGAAATTATGGGATTTTAAGGGCTCGGAGTGGCTATGTTAGTAACAATGAAGGCCCACAGAGTCCTAGACCTAAAAAATCAAAGTTCATAGATGAAAATGTTGTGGTTACCACCATTGATTATATATAGTTTTGATGGTTATGTATACCATTGTGAATTACCTTTTTGTTGATAAGTTGTAAAAATAATTGGTGAAGTGTTCATTTTTGCTGATAATATTAATGATTATTATTATTAATTTTATTGTATTGGAACAAATGTCAACTATGTTGGAAAGGAAGAAATATGGTATCTGTGGCAACACATATAGCCTTTGTTGTAAAAAAAACCACATAATTATCTGCATGTGCCCCCAACAGAAAGGTGATATGTGGCAACGTATATAACCTTTGTTGTAAAAAAACCCACATAATTATTTGCATGTACCCCAACAGAAAGGATATATGTGGCAACATATGTCACTTTGAATTGTCATATGTTGCAACATTATATTATCAAAAATTCAAAAAAAAAAAAGTTGAAAACGATTCGTCCTTCCTTTTCCCTCTCTCCTTTATAAAAGGTCATTTCATATTCCAAATTTAATTTATTTTTACTAATTTCCATTTTCTTTTCTCTTATTTCCTTTCATCTCATCTCTTCACAGATCCAATTGTTGTTGTGATATTTTCTACAACATTAGTGTATTCTGTTGCGATATTTTCTAGAACAAGTCGTCGTTGCCCTCATCATTCCTAATTTATCGTTGATATCTTCTCAGGTAAAATTTAATTAGGGTTTTAAAATACTTATTGATATATATTAAATCATGACATTTTTAGTGGTTTATCACTTATTTGTTTGTAGGATGGTTGGTTTGGTTGGTTGTTATTCCTTTTGAAATATTATCTGATTTCAAAAAGCTTAATTTGTAGTTGGTTGGTTAGGGTTTTGTGGTTTGTTGGTTGGTTCATGTGTGGTATTGAATCGTATTTGTTGTTTGTGTTGTTGTGTGTTGTGTTGTGTATTGTGTGTTGTGTTGTTTTGTTTGGTTGTTGTTATTTTTGTTAAGAAATATTTGATTTTGTAGTTGCAGGATACAAATATAATGCCTCATGTCAAAAGAAAAATTATATTAACAAATGAAAAAACTGACACAAATATCCAGAAGAGGCCTAGGACTAAAACTTGTAGGAAGAAGAATGGAAATTTCACTTCCACTCTTTTAGAAGAACTTGCATCTGAAGCAGTTTCTTCTTCTCAAGTAGAACCATTATTTTCTCAAAAAGAATATGAAGAAAGAGAAGAAGAAAAAAATGAAGTTGATGATGGAGAAAGAGAAGAAGAAAAAAGTGAGGTTGAGGAAAAAGCAGCAAAAAAAGTGAAGTTGAGGAAGAAGAAGAGAACATAAAAGAAGTTGAGGAAGAAGAAGGAAAAAATAAAGGAGTTGAGGAAGAAGAAGGAAAAAAAATGAAGTTGAAGAAGATAAAGGAAAAAATAAAGAAGTTGTTAAGGAGGAAGAAGAAAAATAAATTAAGTTGACGAATATAAAAGAAAAAATAAAGAAGTTGAGGAAGAAGAAGAAGAAAAAAAATGAATTTGAGGAAGAAGGAGAAAAAATAAATGAAGTTGAGGATGATGGGATCAAAAGTGTCAATGCACACACTTTTCCTGTCCATTTCCAGCCTAATGCTACTGGTGATAGCATTATAAGGTCAGCCATGGAAAAACCTTTCGATTCCTTCAGGACCATACTCCGGGAGAATTCTTTGGAAGATTTTTTTTAGGAATAGTTATTTTGGTCAATATCTTGATTTGCCAGAACAAAACAATGCACGTTTTCAAATGACTATGGTCTATGAACTTCTGAAAAGAAGGTTCATATTTTAGAATAATGAAAAGAAGGATGAGGTGTTAATTAATTATTGTGGCATGCCACTCTGATTTAGCAAAAAAGAGTTTGCCATAGTTACAGGGTTAAAATGCCATTCTCCTTCTGAGTCAATCCATGTTTTCACAGCCAAAAAACAACCACGAAGACGAAAGAAATGAGGAGAAGCACAAACAAGTAAGGAACAGTCAACTGAGGAGCAGGACTTGGTGTCCCTTGTTGGCCCAAGCTTCAAAAATCCCAAATTGGTAGTTTTGTTAAATGACAAGGATACATCAAGGAACCACAAGGAGTCACTGTGCTTACTTTGGTTTGTACATAATATACTTCTGTCCAAAGATGTCAACAACAACATACCCCTAAATTATGTAAAGTTTTCTAAGGATATTGAGGCTTTCAACAACTATCTTTGGTGTCATGACAGCTACGAATTAACTGTCAAATACTTGTTGGATCCTTTATCTCCAAAGACCAATAACTTATTTGGCTGTCCATGGGCTTTCATGGTAAA